GGTCATCTTCTGTCTGCTGTTGTGGGTCTTGCAGGTTCCAGTCAGACTCATAGGGTGTTTCCCACCTAGGGGTGGACTTGAGTGGTTTCTCCATTGTGGTTGCCAGTACAGCATAGGGGCAAGAGGGCATCCAAATGGCAAGTTTCACCGCATTTTCCTTGCTCCAGTCCCCGGGCAATCACTCCCCATCCCAGTTTGGTGTAGTGGTTAAGTGCGCGGACTCTAATCTGGGAGAACTGGGTTTGATTCCCCACTCCTCCACTTTCACCTGCTGATGTGACCTTGAGTCAGTCACAAGCTCTGGCACAGCTGTTCCTGAAAGAGCAGTTTGTGTCAGAGTTCTCTCAGCCCTGCCTACCTCACAGGGTGTCTGTTGTGGAGAGGGGAAGGGAAAGGAGTTTGTAAGCCGCTCTGAGACTCCCAAGTGAAGGGCGGGGTATAAATCCAATCTCTTCTTCTTCTAATATCAGGGTTTTGGGGGGGGTTCTGTTCTTTAAATAGGCAAATTATTTATCTTTAGAACATTAGAACAGTCGGTCTCTCTGCTTTTCTGAATCCTCACTTTCCCCCTTTTTTTTCAAACAAAGTAAGTCTCTAGCCCTTGGCCTTGCGCAGATAATAAGGGAATGGTGATCCCTGCCAACAAAAGGGGCTACAGATTTATTTTTATAAACCGTACTCGGATATAGATTACTTAAAGCCAGTTTGGTGTAGTGGTTAGGAGCGCAGACTCTAATCTGGGAGAACCCCACTCCTCCACATGCAGCTGCTGGGTGACCTTGGGCAAGCCATAGTTCTGATAAGAGCTGTTCTTGAAAAAGAGCAGTTTCTGTCAGAGCTCTCTCAGCCCCACCTGCCTCACAGGGTGTCTGTTGTGGGGAGGGGAAGGGAAAGGAGTTTGTCAGCCTCTCTGAGGCTCCTTTGGGTAGTGAAGGGCGGGGTATAAATCCAATCTCTTCTTCTATTCTTCTTAAAACGAAACCTGGGAATTCAGAGAACCGAATTGACCCGCACTGTGCTTTCTAGCATTTTGGGTTGCGTCTGATAGGCTGACGTGTGATTGGGGAGGTGAGCTTTGGTCCCTTACCGTCTTCTGATTTGCTGCCCTTTTCCCAATCCCCCTGGTTGGTGGTGGGCAAATCTTTTCAGCTTAATTCCAGTGGGGCAGCTGTGTTAAGTCTGTTGGAGTGAAATAAACAGGAGTCTGCCGTCACCTTAAAAGACTAACTTAGAGAGCAATCAGGTTTGCTCAGATGTATTCAGTGAGGCTTACTTCCAGGGAAGGATTCTTCCCATTTTCTTTCAAGTTCAGTGCTGAACGTGTGCAGAGTTGGTATCATAGAAACCTGCATAACATTTGACTCACACCTACCGACCAGCAACTGTGCGGGCACCAAGCCGTCGCTGAACTTTCTGGGTTTGTGTTGGGCAACAACTGTTCCATCTTGCTATATGCTACCATTTATCTTCTCGTAGTTATATTCATTACTCTTTTATAGTTACATATTTACTAATTATTACATGATAGCAGGGGTCATTTCCTGCAGGAGCGCACAGGAGCGGAGCTCCGGCAGTAAAGAGCCCAGGGGGCGGGCCCCTGCTCCCAGCAGTCCTCAGTCAGAGCAAGAAGCAGCCAGGTAAGTTGCAGAACACCCCCCGTCCCCCCAGGTCCAAAACAGTCCAGTGGCACCTTTAAGACCAAGTTTTATTCAGGTACAAGCTCCCCCTGCTTCTTATTCTCTTTACCTTGTTTGTTGTCAAAACCCAGGGCTTTTTTGTAGCAGGAACCCCTTTGCATGTTAGGCCACACACCTCTAATGTAGCCAATCCTAATGAGTCTCTGCTGTTGGGTGTGGCCTGTTATGCTAATGAGTTCCTGCTGGGCGTGGCCAACTTGGGAGCCAGCCGGAACTCCGTTCCTGTGCGTTCCTGCCCAAAAATAGCCCTGGACGGCTCGGTGCCAGCACAGTCGCTGGTAGGTAGGCGTCTGGGTGTGTGTGGGGGGGTCAATTTTTGTTTTACTATTTAAGGGGATACAGAATGAAAAAGGAGAAAGGGGAAGGTGAGAAGCATAAAACGTCATTTGTTGAACACATAAAACATGGACGAGTATCTTAGCAAAAGAGTATCGTAGCAAATCAAAATATGGTAAAATCATCAATACTTCGACATAATATATTTCCATGTATATTTCCATTATGTCCTATCTATAGGGCTAGGAAGGAAAACATATAAACCAGAAACGTAAGAAAAGAATAAGAAAACATTTTTTTTCTTTATACAATGTTAATACTATCATGCAGGGGTCATTTTGTAGAAAAAGAGGTGCAGGAGCTCATTAGCATAACTCATTAGCATAACTACCTACCAGCGACTGTGCTGGCACCGAGCCGTCCAGGGCTATTTTTGGGCAGGAACGCACAGGAACTGAGTTCCGGGTGGCTCCCAAATTGGCATAAGAAGCAAAAGGTGGGTGTGGCTGGATGACCACACTTCTGGTGACATGGGGGTGTGGCCTAATATGTGAATGAGCTGTGCTGTCAGGGGTGTGGCCTATTATGCCAATGAGTTCCTGCTGGGCTTTTTCTACAAAAAAAGCCCCGGAGCCGTCACTGAACTTTCTGGGTTTGTGTTGGGCAGAACCTGTTCCATCTAGCTGCGCTCCTACAGACAAAGAAACGGTGTGAAGCGATGTGTGCCTTTCACGGCACCCCAGTTAAACCCACGAGGCGGTGAGGGCGATCAGGGAGGAGGCTGGTACCGAGGGCACTGCAGGGCATCGCCAGATAAGCCTGCTGACTCGCCGGGCGACAGTCCCGTGATTGAGATTTGTGTCGGCTGAAGGGCCGGGGGCTTAGTCAGCAGTCGGGTTTGGAACCCATGACCGTGCTGACCTGGCTCACGGCAACCTGTGGCTCCGAACCCCGGGCACGCTGGAAAACGGAGCTCTCTCTTTTCCAAAAGGAAAGGACAACAATCCTTTTCCTTGCACACACACACTAAACCTTTGGCTAACTCTGATCACCTGGAGAAACGGTACCCCTTTCTGGAAAACTGTTGTTTTGATTGAGAAAACCCGGATTCATTTGACAATAACAGAAGCAGTAAATGTATTGCCCTACTGTAGAATGAGTGTTAATATTGTAAACATGTATGTCGTGACGAAATAGTCTGTAGTGAATTTTATTTCATAGAATCATAGAATGTTAGAGTTGGAAGGGACCTTGCAGGTCGTCTAGTCCAACCCCCTGCATTCTGCTTCTTTTATTATTGCTATAAACATCAAAATGTTCAATAAAATGTTTTTTTTTAAAAGAATGAAAAAGACAGTATTGGATGTGCAGAAGGCAAAATCTCTACTGAAATATTTTGAGGGCCTCTTGAAATACTTATGCGTCTCTCGGTTGCATCTCAGTTCTGCATAGAAATGTTCTCTCCTGCGCCACTTGCATTTCATGACTTTTTGAACCCGTTATTGACATGATTTCCTCTACAATAATGTGTGCATCTGTGCGCTTGCCAACTGAGGAGCTGGTTCCATCATCTGCCAAAGTGGGCTTCAGGGCACAAGAGCTCCGCTGACCCGTAAGATGTCATAAGACTCCTGTTGGAATCTGCTGCAGTAGACTACCCTCAGTAATTAACCGTTGGGAAAATCCCTTTTTCTAGATTTAACAGCCATTAGCTGTTCATCCACTGCTTCTCACCGCCGCCCCCCCAATAAAGTGAAAATAAAAGTCAGTTCTTGACACTATAAAGAGAAAAATTGCCACATCTCTCACGCAGTTCGCCAATTGACTTGATAGCAGGGAGCGCAGTGTCTGCTATTCAGAAAGTGTGGTTAGCCGTTTTCAGGGGTCATTTCGTAGAAAAAGAGGGTCAGGAGCTCATTAGCATAACTCATTAGCATAATGTATTTGCATATGCCACACCCCTGACATCACAGGAAGTGTGGCAGAAGGCAACACCCACCGCTCAGGCTCCACTGGACTGTTCTGGATTGCTAGATATTGGGGGGGGGGACTTGCAGATCTGCCCTCACAGAGGAGGGAGAGCTTGTACCTGAATAAAACTTGGTCTTAAAGGTGCCACTGGACTGTTTTGGACTGGGGGGCCGGGTGGGGGCTCTGCAACTTACCTGGCTGCTTCTTGCTCTGACTGAGGGCTGCTGGGAGCAGGGGGCGGGGCTTGTTGCATGTGCCCGCCCCCTGGGCTCTTTACTGCCGGAGCTCCGCTCCTGTGCGCTCCTGCAGGAAATGACCCCAGATTGTTATAATGCTTTATCGTGTTTTAATGTTCAATGTCTTAAACTGAAATTGTACTTGTTCTAATGATGTTACCCGCCCTGAGCCCGCCCACGGGATGGGGCGGGATATAAATGCAAATAATAAACAAATAACCAAGCAAGCAGGCCTGAGGGACCGCCTTTCTCCATATGTTCCCCCAAGGGCACTTCGGTCGGGAGGGCAACATCTCCTGGAAATTCCAGGCCCGAGAGAAGCTAAACTTGCTGTGACTAGGGCTGGGGCGTTTTCGGTGGCGGCTCCTACCTGGTGGAAGGAGCTCCCAGAGGAGATCCGGGCCCTGCGGGACCTCTCTCAGTTTTGCAGGGCCTGCAAGACGGAGCTCTTCCGCCAGGCCTTTGGATAGGAGCCGCCGCCACTGCTCAGCCCCAGCGAATTAACATCGAATTAACATCGGATTGCCTGGCCCCTAAGGGTGGAACGTAGCACCAAACACGGCTCTAGGATAAGATCAAGGGTAGCTATGTGAGATAAGATCTCTCTTTTCTCGTTTGGAACTTGTTGGTAATTTGTTGTAAATTGTTCATATTTTATTGTAATTTATTGTTTTAAATCATATTGTATTGTTTTAACCCGGCACTTAGTGCCCTGTAAGCTGCCCTGAGCCTTCGGGGTTGGGCGGGGTATAAATGTAAATATAAATAAATAAATAAATAAATAAATTCACGAAGCCGCCTTTATCTCCTTTTTTTGCAGGGGATGTACAAATACCTCGAGAAGTGTTTTCCAGACTTCAAGCAGCGTGGATTTGTCGTGGGATATGACACCCGAGGCCAAGTGACCAGCAGTTGCAGCAGTTTACGGTACGGGTTTAGCTTACACACATAAGACGGGCTGGAAACACACACATCCGATGGGGGGTGGGCGGGTATTATTCTGCACTGGCTATGTCAGGCACCAGGTCGCGAGCCACACAGACTGACACTGTGGGCACCACTGTCTTGCCTCATCTTCTCCCCCCCCCCAAAAAAACACACACATGTTTTATTAGAATTTTCAATAAATGAAGTACAGGTAAAATAGTAACCGGCTAGGTAACAAGTGACACCACACTTGGACTATGCAGGTACAATGAGCAAATAACCTAACTATGTACAAAGAGCCAACAAACAGTACAGGTATCTAACAAATTCAAGAGGCCGAGGAAGAAAGTAAACTTGTATATGAATATAGTCAGGGCTCTTTTTGTAGAAAAAGCCCAGCAGGAACTCATTAGCATAATAGGCCACACCCAACAGCAGGAACTCATTAGCATATTAGTCCACACCCCTGACAGCACACCTCATTACCACATTAGGCCGCACCCCCATGTTACCAGAAGTGTGGTCATCCAGCCACACCCACCTTTTGCTTGTTATTCTGTTTACCTTGTTTGTTGTCAAACCCAGGGCTTTTTTGTAGCAGGAACTCCTTTGCATGTTAGGCCCCACACCCCTAATGTAGCCAATCCTCATGAGTTTCTGCTGTTGGGCAAATGGAAGAAGACTTTGTCGGACTATGGACCCCATTTTATTATTGGATAAGAGAGAAATATAAAGATACGAGCTTTCTGATATCATAATATCAAGAAGCTTTCATAAACTTTTAGAACCTCACGGTCTGTCTCTGTATAATATGAAATGATAAGTAGAGGAAAGTTCTATGCAGAAAATTACTACTTTTGTTCTTTTCCCTGCCCCCTCCCCTTTCCCCATCTTTGTGTATTCTAAAAACTTATTATTAAAAACAAAAACAAGAACGCTTATACCCAGAATTAAACTTTGTTGGCCTTTAAAGGTGCCCCTGGACTCAAACTTTAGTGCACAGTTTAACTCCGTATATTACAGCCCGGAATGTTTCCTCCCAAAACTCCGAGCTGCTTTTTACCACCATTCCCGCGATATAAAATCAGTCTGGGTAATGTTGAGGAAGGAGCTGCGGTGGCTCAAGTGGTTAAGACGCTGAACTGCAGGCTGTGGAAGGTCAGTAGTTCAGCAGTTCAAGACCCAGGGTGCCGCATGACGGAGTGAGCTCCCGTCTCTAGTTCCAGCTCCTGCCAACCTAGCAGTTCGAAAGCAAGAAATTGCAAGTAGATAAATAGGTACCACTCCGGTGGGAAGGTAACAGCGTTCCGTGCACCTTGGTGTTTAGTCATGCCGGCCACATGACCACGGAAACGTCTTCGGACAGCGCTGGCTCTTCGGCTTGGAAACGGAGATGAGCACCGCATCCCTAGAGTCGGAATCGACTGGCTTTCGAGCAAGGGAACCTTTACCTTTAATGTTGAGGAAACAGGCTTAAATGAAAGCGTTGCCCATGAGTAGGCTTTATTATACTCCTTATTTTTACTTTTGGTGATGGTGCAAAGTGCCTTCAAATCACAGGTGACTTATAGTGACCCCACCGGGTTTTCAGGAAAAGAGGTGGTTGGCCATGGCCTGCCTCTGCGTAGTGACGCTGGACTTCCTTGGTGGTCTCCCATCCAAGTATTGACCAGGGCCGACCCTGCTTAGCTTCCAAGATCTGACGAGATCAGGCTGGCCTGGGCCATCCAGGTTAGGGCAGGTTTTTTTTCTTTTTTCTTTTTTGCTTTTGGAAGGGAATAAATGATCAAAGGCATTTTTCAGAAATCCCAATTTTTCCCGACTCCATTATACCCTGTAGGGACCATTATAGCCAATGGTCCCCATAGAGTATAATGGAGAATTGATCCAGGGAGCTCTGGGGGCGAATTTGTTTTACGGCAGAGGCACCAGATTTGCAGCATAAGTTGCTGGTGCCACTCCTCAAGCCTCCCCCCCCCAAGTTTCAAAACGATTGGACCAGGGCTCCAATTCTGTGGGCTCCCAAAGAAGGTGCCCCCATCCTCCATTGGCTTCAATGGAGGTGGGGGAAAGGTGTTTGAAGAGATCGCAGCCCCTTCTCCAAGCTGTGAGTGAACTGTGAAGGTGTTCATTTATTTATCCCATTGTTTAAAGGAGATTTATTTATTTATGAATCCCATTGTTTGAAGGGCTGGAAGTCCCTTTAAACACCTCCTCCAAGCGGTGAGTTCACCCAGAAGACGTTTAAAGGGACTGTAATCTCTTTAAACACCCGTTAACTTCAATTATTTAGTGTTCCTAAAAATCCCAAATATTTTCGGGAGTTTTGGAGCTTGGCCATTTTGCATAGCTGAAAAAAAATACCCGCATCTATATCCGACTGAAAGAATAGCTGGAAAATACCAACAACGTATTTTTCGGATATTTTTTCAGCTTGGATGTAGCGTACTCCCCAGCTTTAGGCAAAATGTCTGCTTTCTTATTTGCTTTCCCCCGGTCTACGAATTTTTAGACTTTCAAAAAGGAAACTTCCTTTTTAAAAAATGCAAAAACATTTTGTGAATTGGACGCAGGGCTCTTTTTGTAGCAGGAACTCCTTTGCATATTAGTTAGGCGACCCCCCCCCTAATGTAGCCGATCCTCCAAGAGCTTACAGAGCTCTCCTTACAGGGGCTACTTGCAAGCTCTTGGAGGACTGGCTACATTAGGGGTGTGTCGCCTAATATGCAAAGGAGTTCCTGCTACAAAAAGAGCCCTAGAGGAGGATTATGTGAGTACATTTTGGAGGTGTGCCCTTGTGGAACCAGCTTCCATCCTGATTTTCAAAGCAGAATCCTGGAAAGGCTGTGACAGTGAGGGGGTTTCCGAAGCTCTGGTTCCCAGCTTCACCCTGAAAGTCTTTCTCTCACCTGAGGGCTTTGGAGGAAACGATCACATGCCACGGTTTGAGCCGATCCTTTGTTGTTTCCTGCAGGCTAGCAAAGCTCACCGCTGCGGTCCTGCTTGCGAAGGGGGTCCCCGTCTACTTGTTCTCAAGATACGTCCCCACGCCTTTTGTGGTAAGTCTCCCTGTGCGTTCTGTTTGAGTGCTGAGCTAGGCGTCATGCGGGAGATGTGCGAACAGAATTGCCCACGGCTTTATTAAAACACAGAGCGTCCGTGGAGAGGGGGAACTGGGCCAGGGAGGTGGCTGTGGGGCTGCTAGCAAAAGGCAGGAGACTGACCAAGGCAGCGGGGTGGCCTCCAGCGTTTGAGCGAAACATAGAGCCAGCGGGGATACCAAAGGTAATCTAGTCCAACCCCTTCCACAATGCAGGAAATTCACAGCTACCTCCCCCCCAACTCCCTCCGTGACCCCTGCCTTATGCCCAGAGGAAGGCAAAACCTCCAGGATCCCTGGGGCAAATATAGCCTGGTTTGTCCAATTACTAGAGCGTCCCTGATGATGGAGTGACATCACTTTTCGATGACGGAGTGACTTCACTTCCCGATGACGGAGTGACTTCACTTCCCGATGATGGAGTGACTTCACTTCCCGATGATGGAGTGACATCACTTCCCGATGATGGAGTGACTTCACTTCCCGATGACGGAGTGACATCACTTCCCGATGACGGAGTGACTTCACTTCCCGATGATGGAGTGACTTCACTTCCCGATGACGGAGTGACTTCACTTCCCGATGACGGAGTGACTTCACTTCCTGATGACGGAGTGACATCACTTCCTGACGATGCACTGACATCACTTCCAGCTGCATAGGAAGTGATGCTAGCACATCGGCCTGCTGGTTGTTGCCTCCCCTTTTTCTCCTTCATTCTTCCCCCAGTGCTCATCTGAGCAGCTGTGGGAAGGGCCTGCTGGGGGCGTGGGCGTCTCCTGCCCCCAATGGGGATTTGACAAGCCTGAGCAGCAGTGGGGAAAAGAGGACATTTAACCCTTTCCTCCCAGGCTGTTTCCCCCGAATGTAAATCCTTTCCCCCTTGAAACTGCTGTTTGCCGAATTGTGGAAGGCCAGTTAAATGCTTTGTCCCGCAGAGGGCAAGTAAAAGCTTGAATGATAGGGCAATTAAATTAAAGGGTTAACCCCCCCCCGCAACAGCTGTTTTCTTCTTTTTTCTTTTTTTTAAGGTCTCTCATGTTGTGTTGAGCTTGGCTCTGAGCTTGTTGCCTGCCAGTCCTAAATTGGATCTGTATCCCTGCTAGAAAATTTCAGTGAATCTGTTCCCTCTAAGCCATGGAGTCTTGTGAGCAAAAATTCTACTTTGTGAGCGACTGACAATAAACTTGTGAGTGAGCGATTTGGCCACTGCATAAATCAGTTTGCTCTGGATCCATCCTTCCTGAGCTAAGACAAAAAATGTGTGAGCCGGAGGCTAAAAAACTGTGAGCTAGCTCACACTAACTCAGCTTAGAGGGAACATGGCCTGGGCTGCGGTCACACACACACCACACCTTAGGAAGGATATTATAGCACTGGAAAAAGTGCACTAAAGGGCAACTAGAGTGATCAAAGGGTTGGAACACTTTCCCTATGAAGAAAGGTTAAAATGCTTGGGGCTCTTTAACTTGGAGAAATGATGGCAGAGGGGTGACACGATCGAGGTTTACAAGATTATGCATGGGGTAGAGCATGTAGAGAAAGAAGTCCTTTTCTACCTTTCTCACAAGACAAGAACTCGTGGGCACTCCATGAAATTGCTGAGCAGTCAGGTTAGAGCAGATAAAAGGAAGTCCTTCTTCACCCAGAGAGTGATTCACACATGGAATTCACTGCCACAGGAGGCGGTGGCGGCTACAAGCATGGACGGCTTCAAGGAGGAATTAGATAAGCTGTCTTTTGTGGGGAGGGGAAGGGAAAGGAGATTGTAAGCCGCTCTGAGACTCCTTTGGGTAGTGAAGGGCGGGGTATAAATACAATCTCCTCCTCCTCGTCTTCTTCTTCTTCTTCCCCCATCACAGGTATGTGTTTTAAGTCCTGCCTGTATTTGCAAGTCAGGTTTGTGTGCGTCAGCTGAGCTCTTGTTTATTTCCGAGCCATTCCAAGCCATCCCGGGAGCGGTTGGCTTCTAGTCATACTAGAAACCGCACAGATCACATTGCAGAAAGCACAGTCTGCATGCTAAGCTGTAATGGCAGCCACTGGTCGAGCACATTTAAGTCCTTCTGAAATCTGTGGGACAAATGAACAATTAACTCACCCCCCCAATGGAGCTCGTGAAACTGCTGTCTTGTGTTGCTGTTTTTGCCAAATTACAAGTTGACAGCGCCTTTCCTGAATGCAGTGGGGTCTGCTTAAGAGCCGCTCTTGGTTTTTGAGCCCTGGCTAGTAACTGTGTGTGTTGGGGATGAGAGAATTGCTCTAAAGCATGTTGTGTTTGGGAAACTCTGGAGAGGCTAGCTTACCATGAATAGCATTGATCTGTTGAGGCAGTTGGGTGTAGTGGTGAAGTGCGCGGACGCTAATCTGGGAGAACGGGGTTTGATTCCCCACTCCTCCGCTTGCACCTGGCTGGATGACCTTGGGCAAGCCGTAGTCCTGTCAGAGCTGTCCTTGAAAAAGAGCAGCTTCTGTCAGAGCTCTCTCAGCCTCGCCTACCTCACAGGGTGTCTGTTGTGGGGAGGGGAGGGGAAAGGAGTTTGTAAGCCGCTCTGAGACCCCTTTGGGGAGTGAAGGGCGGGGTATAAATCCAATCTCCTCCTCCTCCTTCTTCTTCTTCATCATTCCATTCAAGGAGATAACACTTGCACACTTAGAGCAATGTAGTGCCCCCTTCCCCCAATGTCCAGGCACGCTGAGCCGCTTACTCCAGCACTTCCTGCTGGATCCCATTCTGAAAGAGCGACGTGTGGTGCGCAACGGTCCTCCAGACATGCTCTTTGCAGACAGTCGTGTTACGTGTTGCCCTTCCCTGAGGCCATTGCACTGCAGTGACTCTGCCTCTCCTCTTGCAGCCCTACGCAGTTCAGCAGCTCGGAGCCGTGGCCGGCGTGATGATCACGGCTTCCCATAACCGCAAGGCCGCTTCTTCCCAAAAGCATTTAAAGGATCCTTTAAATGCTTTGGAGGGAAAGTGGGGGCTATGCACCTGCACGCCAAGCCATGAATTCATGTCTTGAAGTGCAGGCGTGTGCAACCTCCCCCCGCTTCTTCCCCAAAGTCATGGGGCCTTGGCAGGAAGTTGGGGGGTGGGCCCTGGGAGGGCCCACTGTAGCTATGGGAAAGGCTTTTTTTGTAGAAAAAGCCCAGCAGGAACTCATTAGCATAAGAGGTCACACCCAGCAGCAGAAACTCATTAGCATATTAGGTCACACCCCGTGCCTTTCCTTGGCTTGCCCAGGTGCCCTGCAGCTTCAGGGAGCCCGGGCAAGCCCCCCCCCCCGAGTTTAAACTGCCTTCCCTTCGCTTCTGGGGACAGGCCGGGGAAGGCATGGGGAGGCATTTAAATGCCTCCCCCATCCTTCCAGGTCCCCCCCTGGCCCGCCCGCCTCAGAGTGGTGGTGGGGGTTGCTCTCCTGGACTTCCTTCTGTAGCCAGGCACGCAGAGGTTTTGGCTGAAGTGGGTGTGGCCAACTCTGAAGCCAGCCGGAACTCCGTTCCTGTGCGTTCCTGCCCAGAAATAGCCCTGCGTTTGGGTGTTATTATCAAAAAGTCCCTGCCAGAAGTAGAGGATCGTATTTTTCACTTCAATCCTTTATTCCTGTCATTGTCAGAGTACCAAATATCTGTCTATTTCACGACTGAACTTTTTACTGTCCCTCCAGCAACCCAATTCTGCTCTGTCACATAAGATTACATGGCTGGATTGGGTGAATCCCTACAGAAATGTTACCACCAGATGTCTGTTCAGTCTGAAGCGTTCGCTTGACGTTCTGCGATTCTGATTCCCCTCTTGTCGGGCTTCCTGGCTTCTCCCGCTCTAGGTGTACTGGGAAAACGGAGCTCAGATCACCTCCCCGCACGATAAGGAGATCTTGAAGTGCATCGAGGAGTGCGCCGAGCCCTGGGACGACTCCTGGAACGAGACCCTGGTCGATACCAGCACCCTGATGCGAGACCCTCTGCAGAAGATTTGTGCAAGCTACATGGAGGATTTGAAAAAGATCTGTCACCACAGGTAAGAAACCCAAGCGAGACACAGTCGTAGAATCATAGAACGTTAGAGTTTGGAGGGGCCTTGCAGATCATCTAGTCCAACCCCCTGCACTCTGCAGGAGCATAGCCGAAAGAGAGCCCTATGACATACTCGAAAGATGGCCGTCCAGCCTCCGCCTGGAAATGTCCAGCGAAGGAGCCTCCACCACCTCCCGAGGCAGACTGTTCCACTGCTCGACCACTCTTACAGTTAGGAAGTTTCTCCTGATCTTTAGCCGGTAACGACTCCCTTGTAATTTACACCCATTAGATCTAGTCTTGCAGTCCGGAGCAAGAGAGAATAGATCTCCTCCATCTTCTACATGACAGCCCTTCAGATATTAGAAGACTGCCATCACATCCCCTCTGAGCCCTCTCTTTCCCAGGCTAAACAGACCCAACTCCTTCAGCCTTTCCTCGTAGGAATCATAGAATGGTGGAGTTGGAATGGACCTTGCAGGTCATCTAGTTCAACCCCCTGCACTCTGCAGGAGCACAGCCAAAAGAGAGCCCTGCAATATACCTGAGAGATGGTCGTCCAGCCTCCGCTTGGAAACGTCCAGCGAAGGAGCCTCCACCACCTCCCGAGGCAGACTGTTCCACTGCTCAACCACTCTGACAGTCAGGAAGTTTCTCCTGATATTTAGGTGGTAACGACTCCCTTGTCATTTCCACCCATTAGCCCTAGTCTTGCATTCCGGAGCAAGAGAGAATAGATCTGCTCCATCGTCTACATGACAGCCCTTCAGATACTTGGAAGACTGCAATCATGTCCCCTCTAAGCCTTCTCTTTCCCAGGCTAAACAGACCCAACTCTCTCAGCCTTTCCTCTTAAGACCTGGATTCAAACCCTCTCACCATCCTGGTCGCCCTCTTCTGGACACGCTCGAGCTTGTCAACATCCTTCCTCAAATGTGGTGCCCAGTCAGGTTCTGGAAGCACCGCTTCTGTATATGCATTGTTGCAAGGACTCCAGAAGGTGACATATTGAGTTAATAGGATGCGGATGTTGGCAGGCATCGATTTGCTTTGTCCCACTCACATCCAGCCCACTTTTCAATGACTGGACTGTCATCATTGTTAAACCACTCCCTCTCCCCGTCCCCCCCCGAAGATAAGTGGTTTCAGTTTAAAAACAAAAAAGGCCCTAAAATATCAATAGAATGCTGTAGTGTTGTAACGATAGCTTAAGCATGTTCTCCAAATTCCCAGCTTTCATTTAAACTATCATTGCAACACTACAGCGTTCTATCGCTATTTCAGAGCCACTTAAAAAAAAATTAGGAGGGTGCTCTAATGTCACTGAAAACACCGCGGACGACAACAGCAACCTCCCTTGAAAATCCTCATTATTTAAGTCACATGTGGAAGAAAATAAAGTGACTCCAGAAGTGTAAAAATGTACAGGGAGGGCAAACATGCGAAAGAATCATTGGAAGGGGCCATACAGACCATCTAGTCCAGGAGTGTCAAACTAATTTGTTATGAGGGCCAGATATGACATAAATGAGACCTTGACGGGACGGGCCACGTATGTCACAAAACATAATGCCAGGAAGCGGAGATATAAACTTTATAAAGGGCACAAACACAAAGATTTCTTTTTTACTTAAAATAAAAACGTGCTTAAAATATTAGCTCTGTAAGCTGCAAACCTACTTTTGATCTATTGACGTTCACCGCAGAAATCTCATGCTCAGAGTTCTGAGTCTCGGACTCAAGTTAAAATAATGAAATGGCTGAGTGATTAAGAGAGTCTGGCGAAGCAAGCGATGATGCAGCAGCAGCAGCAGCAGAACTGGAAGCAGGAGATGGCCAGTTCTACTGCGGGCCTGATGTGGCCCCCGGGCCGCATGTTTGACACCCCTGCTCTTGATCTTATGCAGTCATGTGACATTAGAGGGGTGCTGTCTGCGGAGTTTGAAGAGATCCTGGGCTGAATTCCTGGGGTCAAACTCATATGCTGATTTGATGGCAGTCTTCCATTATTGTGGGTGACAGAATTGCTTATGTGCATTTAAGCTAGCCCCGCTCTCAGGTCACCAGATGAACCCAGCTCCATCACATATCTTCCAAAAGCGAATTGCTGGGAGAGTCAGTACAGCAAACTCTGTTTGATTCCTTGCAGCATACCAATTGGGTTGTTAGGTCGTGACATCAGTTTTTCATCTTGGTTTTTCTTCTATGGCTGTCAGCGCTTGTCCAAAAATTTAGGAGCCAAACGAATTTTTCAGCCTTTGGGAGTTTTGTATTTAAATAACTTTCCCCCCCTAATTATTCCTACCACAAAACCTAATCCTGACCTCATTCACGATTTCTCATTGTTTTATTAAAGCTATGACAAAGGTCACATGTTTGACACCCCTGATCTAGTCCAACCCCCTGCCCAACACAGGACCAGCCTAAAGCATCTCTGACGAATATTCGTCCAGCCTAGTCATGAAAGCTGTCAGTGTGTCAGGTAGACCTGTCATGGATCTGGAATGTGGAGGGGGTTTTCTCCTCCTCGTTCCCAGCTCTTCCCTGTCCAGCTACTGTGCGCTATCTCAGGCTTGACCTTGTGGTCTCCAGCTGCGTTTTCTCTGCTGGGAAAGTAACGGCTTTTGGCTATGCCCGCTTGCTGACTTTCTTTTGCTGTGCGCGTGAACTATCATCATTGGCTTCCACTCACTGGGGGGGGAATGTTTGATTTCACTATAAGTCAGTGGCCCTTATACTGACGGCTATTCCTGACACAAGCTGTATACGTGATCATTAGTACTGGATCCATTAATAAACACTTATCTTCTTATGAAGCCCTGTGTGGTGTGACCTGACTAACGACCCTGACACAGTGAAGGGGAGCTCACCACCTCCCAAGGCAGCTGATTTCACCTTTGAACCACCCTGACCGTGAAAAAGTTTTTTTCTCACATCCAGCCGATACCTTTCTGCGTGTAGTTTAAGCCCGTTGCTTTGGGTCCTCTCCTCTGCTGCCAACTGGAACAGCTCCATGCCCTCCTCCAAAGGACAGCCTTTCAGATATTGAAAGAGAGCGACCCAAACTGATTCCCGTGCTTGTAAATTGACTCCCAAGAAAATCACGAGTGACTCGAGTGAGTGGAAAAGGTCTTGGGACAGAGAAGAGAAAGGAATTAGTTGACAGCTTATAAGTAAAACATGGTTGTAAAAAAGAGCCCACCTTCCGTCTTCTTGTGGAGCTCCACATTGGGACTGTGCTTGTGCAGGCTGGTGGCAGGACACTTTCCCCCCAGTTTAAAAACTCCAGAGAGGGGGCGCCCCCCACCCCTTTCGGAGCTGACACACACGCGGGATTCCCGCCCAGCGTGTCACGTGCCCTGTGCGCAGGCGCCCCCTTTCCCTCAGTTTGGTGAGAGCCAGTTTGGTGTAGTGGTTAAGTGTGCGGACTCTAATCTGGGAGAACCGGGTTTGATTCCCCACTCCTCCACTTGCACCTGGCTGGATGACCTTGGGCCAGCCATAGTTCTGATAAGAGCTGTCCTTGGAAAAGAGCAGTTTGTGTCAGAGCTCTCTCAGCCCCACCCACCTCACAGGGTGTCTGTTGTGGGGAGGGGGAGGGACAGGAGTTTGTAAGCCACTCTGAGACTCCAAGTGAAGGGCGGGGTATAAATCCAATCTCTTCTTCTCTTCTTCTTCTTCTTCTCAGTTCCTTTTTCACCACCGCAAGGATAGGAAACTTTCCCGCACGCTCCATTTATTTTTCTTCGTTGTTGCTGTGGCTGGACTGAGACTCTTTTTTTGACCACCGAGGACTCCTTTTGCACTCCTTGAGGAGTCTGTCTAGCCTATCTCATGGGAGGCTAGCCCCATCTCCTTGCCCGGGCTCTCCCCATTTGTTGTGCTTGCGGTCCCTCGTCATGGCGGCCAAGGCACCGTTTTAAAAAAATGTGCAAAATGTGGAACAAAAATGACACAGAGCTACGAGCGCGAACTCTGCCTCCTGCGCTTAGGAGAAGCCCACAAGGCTGGAGCTTGTTCGGTTTGCCAGGGCTTTATAGCACTGGGAGAAAGTGCAGAAAAGGGCAACTCGAAGGATAAAAGGGTTGGAACACTTTCCCTATGAGGAAAGGTTAAGGCGCTTGGGGCTCTTTAGCTTGGAGAAACGACGACTGAGGAGTGACATGACTGAGGTTTATAAGATTTATGCATGGGATAGTGCAGGTGGAGAAAGAGGTACTTTTCTCCATTTCTCACAAGACGAGAACTCGTGGGCACTCCATGAAATTGCTGAGCGGTCGGGTTAGAATGGATAAAAGGAAGTCCTTCCTCACCCCAAGAGTGATCCACACATGGGATTCACTGCCACAGGAGGTGGTGGTGGCTGTAAGCATGGACAGCTTCAAGAGGGAACTGGATAAACATCTGGAGCAGAGGTCCATCAGTGGCTATTAGCCACAAGATATAGATAGGAACTCTCTGTCTGGGGCAAGGGATGCTCTGTATTCTTGGTGCTTGGGGGGGGGGCAACAGTGGGAGGGCTTCTAGTGTCCTGGCCCCACTTGTGGACCTCCTGATGGCACCTGGTATTTTTGGCCACTGTATGACAGAGTGTTGGACTGGATGGGCCATTGGCCGGATACAACATTGGCTTCTCTCTTATGTTCTTATGTACCCCTAAGGCTTGGTCAGATAGGGCCTCTAGCAATGCTCCTTCGAAGCTGTGGAGTCTTGTGAGCAAAAATTCTACTTTGTGAGCTACCGGCATTAAAGTTGCAAGTGAGCGATTTGGCCACCCCATAAATTAGGTTGCTTGGAAGCCATCCTTCCTGAGCTAAGACAAAAACGTGTGAGCCAGAGGCTAACAAACTGTGAGCTACCTCACACTAACTCAGCTTAGAGGGAACACTGGCCTCTAGGCTGGAAGCTGTGCCGCGGGAGAAGGTTCTGTCCTCCTTGGTTCCTTCCAAGGTGATTCCGAGCTCAGGCCCTACTGCCTTGGGTTTGCTTCCCTTGGCTCCGACTACTGGACCCCATTCCCGGCCCCCATTGGTCCATTCAGTTCCTGTGGACCCGACTATCAAGATGGCTCCAACGCCTCCAAAAAGAGCCTCTTCGGTCGCTCCAGAGGCGGAATCTAGGCACCACTTCTCACCTCCTTTCATAGGCACCACTTCTCACCTCCTTTCATAGGACCCTCTAACGCAGGGGTGTCAAACATGCGGCCTGGGGGCCAGATCAGGCCCTCAGAGGGCTTCTATGAGGCCCGCAAGGGACTGGCCGTCTCCTGCTTCGTCCTCCAGTGCTGCTGCTGTGTCATAGCTTGCTTTCCCAGACTCTCTCAATCGCTGAGGAGAGATAGATAGGCAAGCTTCTGCTCCCCGCACTGGGCTGAGGCTCCTCTCCCTCCCTCTCCCCGATTGCTACAGCACAGACATCTTGATGCAATAATTCAGACCAAGAAGTGTCAGTGATCAGAGACGGTTAAATAAATTGCAAGAGAGCTAATGTTTCAAGCATGTTTTTAAAGTAAAATTTGTGTTTGGCTCCTGGCATTACATTTTATGACACACGTGGCCCAGGCCGACAAAGTCCAATTTATGTCAAATCCAGCCCTCCATAACAAATGAGTTCGACACCCCTGCTCTAACACTTTATTTTTTTTGAAGTATGCAGCCTACCTGAAGCATGCTAAAGGGCTGAGACTTGCAGCTGAGCCGGCATTAATGTGTAGCAGCTTCCACCCGCCTCTTCAGCGGCAAAGGCCGGAGGAGGACAGGCCGCCTCTATGGTCGAGGGGCATGATGGGAGCAGCCTTCTGTCTCCCCCCCCCCATGTCCTGGCATATAACTATCCTTGTGTGACGGTCGTCCCTCCCGTCTAAAATGACTGTTTTCAAGCATCTGTTCTTCAGCATTCTTGTTTTCCCCTCACAGGAAGCTGAACACACAAACCAACCTGAAGTTTGTCCATACTTCTTTCCACGGGGTCGGCCACGACTACGTGCAGTCGGCGTTCCGGGCATTCGGCTTCCAGCCCCCCATCCCGGTTCCTGAACAGAAAGATCCGGATCCGGACTTCTCTACTGTCAAATGCCCAAATCCTGAGGAAGGAGAATCTGTGCTGGTAACTGTCCACAAACTGTCGTGTAGTCAGTAGTGCCACGTGCAAGTAACATGTCTGCATAAACGTATCCGTGTAGCGGTTAGAGTAGGGCTCCCCAACGTGGTTCCCGTGGGTGCCACGCTGCCTGCCAACACCTTTCCTGGTGCCCGCCAAGTGTTTTTAGTAGGGTTGCCAGGTCTGGGTTGGAAAATACCTGGAGACTTTGGAGGCAGATCTGGGAGAGGGCGGGGAGGGGAGGGGCCTCAGCACGGTGCAATGCCATAGAGTCCCCCCTTCCAAGCAGCCATTTCCTCCGGGGGAGGCTGGTATCTGTCAGCTGGAGATCAGTTGTAAAAGGAGATCTCCAGGCCCCACCTGGGGGCTGGCAACCCTAGTTTTTAGAAAGTGGGTGGAGCCAGGTGTGGCATTTGCCCAGTAAGGCTTCTGAGATTTGATTGGCTGTGCAGATTAAAAAAAAAAAAAAGATGGTTTGGCAGCAGCTGCCGTTGCAGCATCAGGATCTTCACTGTGAAGGTCAGCCGTGGTGGCCATTTTCTGGCTGGCTCCGCCTCCCATAGCAGCCGTTTTGTGGCTGCGCCCACCACACTTTGTCGAAATTCTAACGGTTCCTGCAGGCTCTAAAAGGTTGGGGACTAGGATATGGGAGACCGCTCTGCCGTGGAAGCTCCCCGGGTGACCTGGGGCCCGTCACTCATGCTAAACCTAGCCTACCTTGCAGGGTTGTTGTGAGGATAAAGTAGAGGCGGGGAGAACAGTGTAAGCCCCTTTGAGTCTCCATTACGGAGAAAGGCGGGGTATAAATTAATTAACTAAACAAGTAATAAACTTTGAGCCAATAATGGGGGCTGTCAGACGGCAGGCAAATCCGATAGGCTGTTCTGAATGGACTAAAGGAACCGATGGCCTCTTCCAGGAACTGTCCCTGCGGCTGGCGGAGAAGGAAGGCGCCCGGGTGGTGGTGGCCACGGATCCCGATGCCGACAGGCTGGCCGTGGCGGAGCTGCAGGACAAGTAAGTGAGGAGGCCCTTTGCAACTCCAGGAGGGAGGGAGGTTCCGTCTCTCCTTGGGAAGTGAGCTCAGAATGCGGCCCCGAATCCAGCGAGTCAGTTTGTTGGAGTGGTCAGGAGTGCGGACTCCAATCTGGGAGAACCGGGTTTGTTTCCCCACTCCTCCTCCTGCAGCTGCTGGTGTGACCTTGGGTCAGTCACAAGTTCTCTCAGAGCTTTTCACTCACGAGCCGTCCTCAGAAGAGCTCTCTCAGCCCCGCCGACCTCACAGGGTGTCTGTTGTGGGGAGGGGGAGGGAAAGGAGATTGTAAGCCGCTCTGAGACTCAATCCAATCTCTTTCTTCTCGTCTTCTTTGGACAAATATGCTCTCCCTTGGAGAATCGATTTTAAATGAACGCCTGTTCTCTTGCACCTTAGAGGTAGGGTCGAATCCCTTTGTGTCTTAGTTTCAGGAGAGCAGTCACCCTGTGTGCAGTAGAAGATCTGAATTCCTCCAGTAGCACCTTAGAAACATAGAGCCAGAAGGGTCTGCAAGGGTCATCTAGTCCAGCCCCCTGCCCAATGCAGAAAATTCACAGCTTCTCCCCCATTGATCCCTGTTCTGTGCACTGCGGAAGGCGAATATCCTCCAGGATTTCTGGGCTACTCCAGCCCAGAGGGAAATTCCTTCCTAACCCCAAAGGGGCATTACCCCGGGCATGTAAGAAAGGACTCCAAGAGCCAAACACCGGCTCATCCCTTCCCGCCCTCCCTCTCACCATCTGCCTAAATTCATAGTGAATCACAGAATCAGCATCGTTGTCAGATGGCCATCTAGCCTCCGCTTGAAAACCTCCAAAGAGGTAGAGCCCCCCCCCCTCCCGAGGAAGCCTGTTCCAGCGGCGAACCACTCTGACTGACAGGAAGTTCTTCCTCATGTTTAGCTGAAAAACTCTTTTGATTGAGAGACCAACAAGTTTTGGGGGGGGGTTAAGCTTTTGAGAGTCAAAGGTCTGAGTAGGGATGTGCATCCTGAGTAGGGATTTGCATTCGGGCCCCTTTCAGGCTGCTGCGGGCCGATTCAGATTCTCTGATCTGAATCGGCCCCATTATATCCTATGGCCCATTGAAGTCAATGGCAAAAACATAGGGTATATTCTGGGGGCTGGAGGGGAGGGGGTATATTTTGGGGGG